AGAAGAGAGTGAAGAGAGAGGGGGCAGGAAGACAGTTCCATCTTGTCTCATGCCTATGTCATTGGTTGGGACCCCCCCCCCCCCCAGCCTATGCTTGAGGGAAGGAATGAAGGAGGGAAAGGGGGACAGGAAAAAAGCAGAGAAGGAGGAAGGAAGGAAAGAGGTAGAGAAGGAAGGAAGGAAGGAAGGAGAGAATGGGGAGGGTAAGTAAAAGGGGAGCCCCCGGTGGTGCAGTGGGTTAAAGCACTGAGCTGCTGAGCTTGTTGATCAAAAGGTTGCAGGTTCGATTCTGGGGAGCGGCGTGAGCTTCCGCTGTCAGCCCTAGCTTCTGCCAACCTAGCAGTTCGAAAACATGCAAATGTGAGTAGATCAATAGGTACCGCTTCGGCGGGAAGGTAACGGCGTTCATGCAGTCATGCCGGCCACATGACCTTGGAGGTGTCTACGGACAACGCTGGCTCTTCAGCTTAGAAATGGAGATGAGCACCACACCCCAGAGTCAGACATGACTGGACTTAATGTCAGGGGACAACCTTTACCTTTACAGTTCGGAGTAGAGTAGACGGTGATCGGGTATTCGGGCAGAAGGAAGGAAAGTAGGGGAGGAAGGAGAGAAAGACAGGAAGGAGAAAAAGAGGGAGGGAGGGAAGGACAGAAGGAAAGAGAGAAGGAAGAAAGGAGAGAAAGGAGAAGGGAAAGAAAAAGGGGAGAAGGAAGGAGAGAAAGAAAGAAGGAAAGAAAGAAAGCGGGAGGGAAGGCCACAGCAACATGTGGCGGGTAGTAACAACTAACAACAACAACAACAACAACAATTTATTTATATTCTGCCCTATCTTCCCAAGAGGACTCAGGGCAGATCACAGTACACATACATGGCAAACATTCAGTGGCATTTGGACAGACAGGACAGAACAGACAGAAAGGAGGTATGTTGTGTTGACGTCCAAGTTTCAGTGCCTTTGGAGATTGTGCTCGAATCTAGCCACAGGGGGTGCTGTCGCTCCATCCTCTATGATGAAGAGTCATCAGGACTTCCTCCTTACTTTTGGTCGCAGGCATTTTTTTTTATGGTGTCGTAAAATACGTCCCTTATGTTTTTCAGCCAACAGGGAGCTCTGGCATGGACTGGTCCATGAGGTCACAAAGCATCAGAAGCAACTGAATGAATAAACTACAAAATTTCTCTACTTACAGCTCTAAGCTTTTTTTTTTTTAACTCCTTAGGTAAATAGTGAGCTGGGCCGATAGTCAGGTGCTCACCCTGACCCAGGCTTCAAACTGGCAACCTTTCACTTGGTAGATCTTACGCTGCTGGGGCTGATTTCCCAGCTGTGCTATAGCCCGTCCCACTTCCCCAACACCTGGATTCCTGCTTGCCTTCCACCATGGCTGCTTCTGTCCCACGTTGCTTCTCCTCTGCTTCACTTTCTCCTCCCTCTCCATTTTCTTCTAGCCTGTAAACAGCAGCAAAGACATCAATCATCCACATTGCCAGGGAAGCCCTTCCAGCTCTCAAGAGGATCAGAGGGTAGCTGGCCCAAAGACTCCCCATATTTGAGCTCCCGCAGAACACAAATAAACCCCAATTCCTTTCTTGAGCCAAAAATCCCATTCCTCACCTTGAGTGTTTCTCGTTGATGGATCTGGAAAGGGAAAGAAGATGTAGGGGTCATGCAAGCAAAGTGACAACCACATCAGCCTCTGGCTGCAAAATTGGGTGCTTGGAAGTCCAACATAGGCTGGGTTGGGGTGGCTATTAGGGAGCTCGACAACCAGGAAGCCAACTGAGCTGTGCTGGGAATGGAGATGTCCTACTTGGTGGAGGTAGGATGTAAAACATGAAGAATCTTCCACCACAGCTGTTGTTCTGCCAGCCTTTGGTGCTTTCAAGGGACTCCTAGGACCCTAAAGTGTAAGCATTAGCCCCCTTTCCTCCCCTCTGGCCTTGCTCACCTGTGGAGCTTGGACGAGAACCAGGCCCGCATGGTGTAACTAAAAAGGCGACAGCAATGGGAGCGCCAGCCTTGCAGCCCAACGAAGCCAATTCTGCTCAGAATCCTCGCAGAGCTCTGGGTTCCACTGCTGGTTGTGAGGTCACCAAAGCCTGTTCAGCTCTGTCACAGTCTATCTGGAATTTAGTCATGGATTTCCCCTTGGAGAACACGAGCAATTTGTCCATCTTGGCTAATTTAAACATCTTCATGTGTCGGTGTATATGGTTCTTTCCATCTCTGGGCATAGAGCAGTATTTCTCAACCTGAGGGTCGCGACCCTGGAGAGTCGCAAGGGGGTTTCAGAGAGGTTGCCAAAGACCATCAGAAAACATATATTTCTGATGGTGTTCTGGTACAGCTGTACCAGGAGCTCCAATGTTGTTTGCTTTACATTAAATGTTTGCGGTCCTAGGTTTCAGGGACTCTGCAGATAGGTGGCTTCTTTTGGTTGCAGTTATAGGGCAAGCCACCTGTCCATCATCATTACGTTTTGGTCCCGCCCCTTGCTCAGGGCAATTGAGAAGGGAAGGGAGCCATTTTTTAGTTAGTCTCAGCTAGGTTAGCCAATGTACAGGACGTGTGTAAACGTCCCCTGTACAAAAGCTTCACCCTTTAAGAATTTCCAGGGTTACAGAAATTCTAACAGAAACAGAAGGAAAAGAGTCTCCAAAGACTTTCCAGGGAAACAGCCCTAAAGATCAAAGAACTCCAGC